GATACTAGCTAAATGAATAAAGTGTATGTTGTAAGCACAAGTTGCAGTTAAATTTTGATCATTACATACATCTAACACTAAAAAAATTGTCTAAACCCTCTCAAGGTGGGGAAAAGTAACCAAAAAAATCTTTAAAAACAAAAATCAAAACATTAAGTGTGAACGAGTTATACCTAAAATCATATTCTTGGAAAAATAAATCTCTTAACATTTCATAACAATTCATTCATCAACTTAATTTCGATTTAGCAAATAACAAATGCAAATAACAACAAATCCAAGCTCAAATTTTCAATTCCATTACACATTACTAGCCAAATGTTCAAATCAATTACACAAGCGCAAGCTTTGACTTTAGAGACTAACAAACCAACACAGAATAGGCACTTATCACTTTTAAAAATTGACCAAAAGATACTCATAGATTATGATATCAAAGACCTAAATCTCCATGAAGCTAAAAATAAAAATCAAGTGAGATACTTAAGCCCATGGGTGAGCGAGGGAGTGAGCATGTGAGAAAGTTTCCAACATTACACATATAAGAGAAGAGGCTTAGAGTCTTTGAGATCGATTATGAAAGTATGACTTCTAGACTTGAAGGTTGATGATACATTAGGACTCAAGATTAAACAACGAGATAATGACGACCATCTCGCCTAGATAGAAGATGGTGAATAGGGCTCATAAAAAATAATGTAAGGGAGAAAGAGAACAAAATGGAGGGGACGATAACCATATTTCAAGAAAATAGAAACGACTAGAAAAACGAAGACATCAAGAGGATACAACACCATCAAGTAAGTAAGAAAGTGAAAGAGATTGACGACTATTGATCTTTTTCACTTGCGCATATAAACAAAGAAAAAGAGACAAGCATAAATTGGTCAAAGATTGAAAATATTTCTTTTTCACTCCATATTGGTATTGGAGGTATGTATATTTGATAGAAAAATATTACATATATAATAACAAAAACAAAGCCCTCTTCCTCATCAGCATTCCTCTTCATTTGATGAATTAGAGAAGGAGGAAGAGGGTGGTATAGGGGAGGGACGAGGATGGAGAGGAAGGATCCTCCATGAGGTCATACTTGACATCTTACATGTCATATATGAGGTTCATCTTGTTATTAATGGCATGTATAAAAGTTATAATATCTATCAAATGCCGTGCTTAATATTTGCTACTTTGTTGAGTAGCTCATTTGGTGGTGGAAGAGGAGGTAGAGGGGGTGAAGGAAAAGAAGGACACACCAGTATTGTTCTCTTATGCTTCATCATGACTATAATGGGGAGGAAAATGATGACTTTCAAAGAAAATGTTTGAGAAGAGGAATTGAGTTTGAAGTTTAAGATAGTAACAAAATATGATAACTTTTGAACTTTAGACACATAACATAAACTAAAACAATATTCAAAGGAATGAAATGGAAGTGTCATCTCTTTAGTTTTCTAATAAAACTTATTAAATGACTCTAGACTCTAAACTTGCTAGCTTTAAACCTACTTATGTGGATAAATATCAAAGTTTTCTGCTTAAACACATTAAAAAAGAGATAGATTTTTCATCTACTTTACTACTCCAATTCCAACCAACCTCTGTATTACAACATCCATAGTAATAATTATCTTGTCAGTAATTGGATTATACAACCCATAAGCTTGGAAATTATAGGTTATAACCCACAAAAAAATGTATTTTTCAAATTGTTCATGACGAGATGATTTTACCAAAGCATAGATTACACAATCAAAAACTTTTAAGTGGCTTAACTCAAGCTTTACATCTATCCATGCTTCATAAGGTATCATGTTACGAACTGCTTTTCCGGAAGAAAGATTAAACAGATACACAATAGTAACTACTGCTTCTACCCAAAATTAATCTGGAAGCTATTTTGCCTTTGTGATACTTTTGGCCATTGCTACCACAACTTGGTTCATTTATTTAACGATGCCATTTTGATTTGGCATATTAGTGAAGTAAGCTCCTTGTGAATACCATTTTTCTCACAAAAAATAGCAAATTCATTAGAACAAAATCTCCTACTACTCTATCCCTACATAGCACCTTAATTTTGCAATCACTTTGCTTCTCTACAAGAGCTTTTAATTTCTTAAAATTTTCAAACACTTCATACTTAAATTTCAAGAAATAAACCCAATTCATTTTGCTATAATCATGAGCAAACAATAAGAAATATCAATTTTCTGTTTAAAGGCTTAGTATTCATTGGCACACATAAATTTGCATGCACTAACTCAAGATATTAAGAATCCTAAGACATTTCTCATCATTTGTCCCACACTCAATAAAATACTAGCCAAGCTAAGAACAAGGAAAACATCATTCAAAAAAAAATTTTTACCATGGTCACTGTGGATAGCATAATCGTATCTCTACTTCCAACTTGTACTTACTTATCATTTCCAAGCTGAACATCATATTTATGTGATTCATCACTTTCTTCAAACAATAAATGTAAACTAGTCCTATGATTGGTAACATTTGCTATCAGTGAACCAAATATCCTTAGAGGTTTGAGTATTAGGGAAATGCACCATGAAGAAAGCCTCTGTTTTTTCTACCTCTGTAACATTAGCATGCTTTTCTTCACCTCTTTGTTTTTGCCCCACACTATGATTCTTTTTGGCAAATTTCTTGCACCAATGACATTGAATAGAGCTTCTTTGAAATGCTCTTAACTACTTATACTCATTAAATGATTAAATTGATTAGAGTCTCTGTTATTATCATGACCTATTCCTCTGCCTCTACCACAAAAGCCACCTCTACCTCCAAACTACCCCTTTACCGAAAATGCCTACTCTTCACCTTTTTCTTAAAACTCATTTATCCTGTCCTCATAAGCTTGCAATGATCTCATTAATTCATCAAAAGAATATTTAGACATATCATGAGCCTCCTAAATTACATCAACAACAAAATTAAAACAAGGAGTAAGAGTTCTCAAATTTTTTTTGTAATAACTATTTCATCAATAATTTTCTCCACATAAGATCTTATTTTATTAACCTGATATGAGGGAATGTAACAGACTTGCCAGAATCAAGTAAAGGAACAGAATGACCCTAAGAGAACCTATCTCTTGTAACTCCAAACATAAGAAACCAAACGGATGATCGAAGTAGAACATTAAAAGAACCTGTCTTTTATAACCCTAGCCAAAATGACACCACATGGTCAATCACTTCCTTAATACTGTCAAGCACTCTCAAGAGAATATGAGGACGCAAGCAAAGCTCACACAGAGAAAAATAAACTCAGTTCTCATTTATCTAAATCAAAAATTCAAGTACAAAAACGTATCCTATACATAGGCAACCATATAACACTCTAGAATCAGCATCTTAAGATATAAATGCTAGGAATGATGCCTCATTAATAATTATTTGACTATAGGAGGCACCATTTATTACATAGAGATAAAAAGAAATGACTTAAACTTTAAGAACAAATCTGTTATTTGAAAATAGGAAACTAAATCAAAACATAATCTTCTAAAATGATCCTCAACCAAAAGACCTTATTCAAAGCAAATAAAAAAACAGAAAACTTTCTAAAAAAATGAATTTAAATCATAATTAATGCATAATGACTCTTTTTGTTGCTTCTTGAAGGTTCTTGGATATGCTTGTCACATGGTATTTTAAATGAATTCTTCAATCCAAACTCCACACGAACCTTGTACATCATCTTGTTGGGTTTTTAGTAATGTGATCACCATTCTTGAACACTTTTTAGGCTCATTGAAATGTGTTTCTTCCAAATAAATTGGCTCCAACTCTTTAACTCTCTTATTAAACAATTCAAAGCCTCCTTTATAGCTTTGATCCTTACTCTTATTATTAGGCCTCCAATGTCTTGTAATGGATCTTTTAAAATGTTGGACTTCTTTCCATGCTTTTGGGCTCCTTACTCTTCCTTTGAAGTTTGATCTTAATCACACCATACTGCTCTATCATAACCACAAAACAAGCTCTAGACAAGTCTTCTTGTACAAACTCAGTCATTTGCATAGGAAGACTCTCAAATTCATGACAAAGTGATTGGAGTTTTACAAAGAATACCTTCTAAGAGCCTTGAAACTCATTCTTCAAAATCTTCCATACCTCTTTAGAAGTCATTATGGAAGTGATTCTAAACAAGAGGTTGTCATGCATAGCTTGTTAGAGAAAAGATAGAGCCTTTGCATCTTGCTTCTAATTTTCCTTTAGCCGTTGTTGGTTCATATCTGGGTCTGCGAAACCACCATCAGCCACTTACATTTTGACTTTAGCACTGCCATGATGAGTTCACATTCCTTGAAATGATACTAAAAGGATTCAAATTTCTGGGATTTGATGCTTGGTGTGACTCCATTCGTAGCCTCTAGAAAGGGACTATGGTTAGACACTGTGACAGTGTGGCGACATAAGACATGGGACGAGTATGAAGCCGAGCTGAATTGCAAAAAGCCATACCAAGGCATTCGATAACAAGATCAAGACCTTTTCAATTATTTGACCATGTGAAAGCAAGTCCTTGTTGTTGCAACACGTTGATAAGGTTACTTTCTTCTATACACTTGTGAAAGTCAGACATCCCATTGGAGGAACATCTTTTTACTGATCTTATCCTTGGAAGAGAGGATTTGATTAAAATCTTGGAGAACTAACCAAGGCGGATTAATTGTTTTAGATGTATCTCTAATACCTATCGTTATTATAATATCAATATTACTTATACTCAGCCTCGTCTATGATAATGATTAATAAACGCTGATATGTTGATCACAGAGATTGCTCGCCTGTCAACAAAAGTTGCAGACATAAGCTTTAATTATGACTTCTAGATTACCTCTTTCTGGCAATGAACATCTTCAATTATTTAACCATATACGATAAATGGATATTTTTCTTGCTAGTGCTATAGTCATATTTTAATTTTGGATGATAAATTCAAATACTTCAAATAAAAAAAATAAAGAAATTTAGTTGCCTTGTTAAGCAAATCTCATAAAGTGGAAAACAGGTTCAATGATATGATAAGACACATTTATATACATTCATTGACCTGTAGCTCAATAATTTACATCTGTGCTACTTCTTCAACAACAAACCTTATTTTTGTACAAAGTGACTATTCTTTGAGGACAACACTTACATCAAATTCCTTATATCCATTATGTCAAATTTTCCAATCACACATTACCATGTGTTCTATTTTTTAAATATTAGTATTTAATTATAAATCTGCATGAAATAAAAAGGAACACATGACTATGTATAATTTGAAGAACTTAACATAATGGATATAAGAAACTTGACCTAAGTTTTTGATTCTTCTAACATAAGATATAAGTACATAATATTAAATGTAGATTAATATGCAAGCATGTGCTCATGGCAAGCAATTAAGCTATGAAGCAAGAGTGGCCCAGTAATTTTGAAGACATGGGCTGGTTGGAGTGCCAAAAATGCGTGACCATTCCCATTCTCTATTCTCTACATACTCTATTTCTGCTAACTGCAATTAATGCTATGTGATGTTAGTATATATCTTCACTATCTAACACTCCAATCTTTTTTATAAGATCAAACAATTAGTTAAAATTAGTTAAAAGAAATAAATAATTAAAAATGCAACTTATTTTTCAGAAATACCCTTATTAATAGAAAGATAATGACTAAGTGTATAATTAATACAGTTAAACTAACTAATAATTAATAGGGCAAAAATAAAAAATGATATTAAAAATTTCATATAGGCTATTAATGTCTAATATAAATATTATAAATAGGAATAAGTATAGGACCAAAGGGAGTGACTCTCATGCTTGGTTCGTGAGGTTTTGTTTATATTGCATCCACCATAAAATACATTATAGCTTAGGATCTTGATTTTGTCTCAAAATATTTGTTACTTTAGAATTTCAATGAAAAATTAGTTATTTTTTAATCATATTACCCTTCATTAATAAGAATAATGGTTTGCTACAATCTAATCTGTCTAGTAGCTTTTTTTGATCTATGTGTAATATATAATTAAATAAAAGATATTTTCAAATAGAGAGAATATTATATAACATTGTTGATTTGATTCAGTTTTATTAATTATTATTATACTTTATTCAAATTCATTATTTTTTATTTAAAAGAATAAAAAATAAGCTGAAGGCTTCTGTTAATTTTCACCAACTACAAATTAAAAACTAAACTATTTGCATTCATATGGTTAGAAACAGATTAAGACACAGATGAAAAGCATGCACAGAACTAATTCTTCCATTATGCTTATCCTTTCTTTTATTTTTATCTATATTCAACTGTCGTATGCACGATTCAAAGTAATTCGATGTTCAATTGATTAAATGGAAAAAAAGGAATATTGAAAAGAAATTCGTACTGAAATTCTACATTGTAAATTTGAAGATATCTTTCAATTTAGTTGCTTACCCTGCCATCTCGCAACTCAAATATAACCGATCTGTTGGAAGATGGAATTGGCCTGGTTGATGCCACCTATGATGAATCAAACTCAGTCAATTCTAGTTCATTCCTATTTAACATTATAATTATAATTTTAATAGATAAACTTTAAATGTAACAGAATATTAACTGAAATTTTCCACTCAGATGAAAATATTATATTTATATGAAAAAAGAAAGTTACGATCTATTTTAGACATAAACAGTCTTCAAAGACTAGCAGTTGATTGATAACCGTGAGATGGTTATGTAATTTATTCTTTGACTAATAACCATAAACTATGAATCTATGTCTATAATTTACCTTGGGATCACACTTAAGGTTGCAGTCACCACAAGTCTCATCGTCCTTGCTGAAGCCAGATATAGAATCTTCATGGTTGCAAACTTGCTGTGTTTGATCTTGAAGCACTTTATTTTCCATCAATGGAAAACCACAATCTTTCCACTTCCACGTGTTTGCTTTATCCATGTACCTAAGGTACACCTTCCCATCGGAACCAATCAAAAATAATTGATTACCTGCAAAACAAGGGCCTGGTGAACCGACCAGGGTTACACCTTTATAGGGTGTTCCGTGTTCCACCCAATTCCAGCCATACCATGAATTCCAGTGATATTCAACAAGTCCACCTTCTCTTGAAAGCATGAAGAGAGAACCAGACAGTGTTGTTGATGAAGGTCTTATGGCTGTTCCAAGGAAGTTTGAGAGAATCAAATGCTGAGACTGGTAATGCTCATGCCATATATCAGTTACTTTGTTGTATTGATAGAGGCGACCGTTTCTTCCGGTAACAAATACTACATTTTCTCTCAGCAATCCATAGTCTAGTATGCTAGCTACTTTGGTGTTTGCAGGCTTTCTGCAATCTTTCCATTTGAACTTCCTCATTGACACCTGTCCACAATTTGCAAAATAATTACTTGCCTTGCATACCTTTCTGATTAAGTTTGATGTTTGAACATTCTAAGGAACTAGATTCAGTGCACTATGGAGGTTTTCAGTCAACTCATGTTGGGAAGATCTATATTGTCCATTTCGATCTATCACCAGTCGCTGTGACAGAGTGGCTTGATACGATCACTAAGAGAAGGGCTTGATCTTACAGTCATGCAATATATTACATATGTTGATAAATATGGCATCATTGGATCAAGCGCTTCTCCCAGCTATTAGATCATACCAACAGATGAGATTTTGCATGGAAAAGGACAGCACAGTCTTCGACAGAAAATAACAAGCCTACCGAATATGCAGTACTATTATGCTTTATCAACAACCAAATCTTTAATCTTTAGATAAATCATTAAAGTCTCCAAAAGACAATTATCTAATTTTTATTCGTGAGTGCTTTCTTACCACAAACTGCAGTAATGTTCCTTTCTTAGAGACAAAGAAGAGTGAATCTTGAGTTGTAATTTTACTAGCTTTTCCTGGTACTCCATCCCATGGTTGACCTGCTACAATACTTGTTCCTTTCTTCATGGCACTGCAATTCTTCCATGATAGTTCATAGCCATTCCTTTCTCTAAGAAGCAAACTCCCATGTGTATCAACCATGAATAAGCTTCCATTATAGTTCCCTAATATACCTTCCATATTTGTAGAGCTCTCATGTCTTAACCATATCCATACGGTCTCGATACAAATGTACTCAAATATCAAACCACCACCTGTTATGAGAAAAACTGATTTACCTTCATACATCAATCTCAGACGGAAATTATTACTAATCCACCCAACATCTGGAAAATTTTTCTCTTCTGAAAATTTTATCAGTTCTCCACCAGCGCCTACTGTGCCAGGAGACAAGTAATAATCTTGTGTCTGGCTGTGCTTTCTCCTACCTGTTATGGTTGTCAAACTCACAAGTTTAAGTGTCAAGAAGATAAGTTCAACAAACAACCTTACATAATGAATAATTAATAATGAATGAATATGAAAATACTTAAAATGCCAGTAAATGGGGAAAAAGTAATAGGCAATAGCATATTCAGTTATATGTGTCGCAGGATCCCAGTTGTTTGAAATTTTGAAACTGAAAATTCTTACAATTTTAAAAGATTTTAACATTGTTGTTAAACTTTTGTTAGTACATTGTTGAGATTACCGGTATGGCTAACATTTGCAATATTAATGTCCTGAATTTGAGGGAACTAAAGAAGTAAACGCACACATGGTTTGAAAGTAGCTCACAAGTATGATATGCAAACTATTCAAAGTGACTTTTGGTGAGTTAGCATAAATAATACAGATATAGGATTGTATAAAAAAAAAACAGCACATAATTGTTCATATCAATAGAACTAATTAATGTACATTAAGTAGTAGATATTAAAAGTTTTCAGAGTTATAAGGATTTGATCACAAAATCTAAAGTACAACACTGAAAGAAACTACAAGGTAAAAATCCAAATTGCAGGTTCTATGAATTTAGTAGTACCTGTTGCTGAAGTTATCCCTGATTCCTCTGACTCATCCTTTGTACCAGTAATGCAATTTCTGGGACCACGTTCTTGTGTACAGTACTCTGCATTCCATCCTTCACTCTCTGGAACGTCTAATAGGGACCATACATATTTTGTAGTTCCTGCTTTCCTTCGAGTATTTTGAGGTATGGTTGGACCTGAGCTTTCACCTCCTAGTCCTAGAAGATGGAGTTCTCCAAGTCTACCATCATCCAGAGAAAACAATATTCTTCCTACTTGCAATTGTAAGCCTGCTATACCTCTTGCTGCTTTTGCATGTAAGGGGTGTGCATGATTCACCCATGATCCTGGAAATTCACCATTTTGAACTGTACCTGAGTGTGATCATGTTCATAATCAATGAATATTTAATATTTCGATTGAGATCTCTGAATTAGTACATCAGCACATGAGCAAAACGGGTTGTGCAAAAGAGGTTTAAATATACTTAACATCCCTTTTATTTCATAAAAGTTTTGATTTTCCAATCGTCAAACACCAATCCCTATTGGTTTTTCCATCATCATTACTAATTCAATTGTCCAAATTAGCATATTGTTAAATTTTTTATAGGCATGTGATAGAGGAAAGAAATTGGATTGTTTAAGATAATATGAGGGCAAACTTTTATGAAACAAAGTGGACCAAAAGTATGTTTAAGCATATAGAAATATTATGCAATATCACAGGCCACATTTATGTCAAACATCCCGAGTCTTTTCTAAGGGGTGTTTGGCTTACGATAAATGCACTTTTTAACAGTGCTTTCACGTAAATTAAGACAAAACTCTTCTTATATACTTGCTTCGTATACTGTGAAATTACTTTTAAAACCATAACTTTGTTTCCATCCAAACACCCACTTAATTATGAAATTCATTCTTCATCTATGCATGTCAGCGAAATAACATATACTGCAAAGACAAGGAATTTTTAGCAAATCAAAATACATAAAGCCAAAAAAAAAAATCATCTTATAATTTTAAAGTGCACATCCTAATGGCCATTAGCTCTCTTTTTCGAAGACATTTCGAATTTCAATATTTTGAAAGATTATATGAGTGTGACTATTATGAAATGTGACATTTAGCCATTAGCAAACCAAATCCATTAGTAACATTAACATCTTGGGAGATTTTTCATGTAGTCCCAAGAAATAAACATAATTACTAAAAAGTCTCATTGACAACAAAGCAGTCTACAATGACAAGTTCCAATATAAGAAATGACAATCGCTCACTTGTTTTTAGCACTTATTGGTAATTATCTTCTTTCCTTGAGATCTCATTGTAATTCTCCCTAATATCTTCTCACACCAAGTTATACTGATCATTCAATTTCATGCCAGACCGAATTATGATCAGTTTTTTTTTTCTTTTTGCCAACGAATTATGCTCAGATCATTCACACATCAATCTTAGTTTCTCATTGTCAAGTTGAGACTTGGTTAAATGCAGAAACTTCACAACTACGTTTGAATATTGATAACTTCAAAAACCAAAGTGAAGAGCAAATTAGCCTTGATCTTGAGTTCATAATGCTGTAAAAGCTAAGTGAACACTGATATCATTGAAACAAAGCAAGGATCAAAAGTAACTATTTGCATAAAATAGTTAGTGTACAATTAGGGCTCACCTGCTTGTTTCCGGATATGATATTCAAAAACAAACCCTGATGATGTAATGAAAAATAAAGAAATAGATCTTTGATCACTTGATTCATCTTGTAAAGCTGGTATGATAGATGTCAAATTTTGATGTCTAGGGCTTCCATGGACTACCCATTTCCACTTCCTCTGTTGTAATCTTCTCTCCACCAAAGTTCCTGCCTGTGTGTTTGTGAAACATTTCAAGAAAATGATGCATATATAACGATTTATTAACAGTTATGTAAATAATTCCTTACTAATGAGAAGTTCTAATATTGATAGAGATATTTTTAACAGAAAGTTATAACCACAGTTTGACAGAGGTATTTAAGCTCAATTAGTTCAAAAAATCCATTGTTCTGTGAAAGGATCCCAATTTTTTAGAGACAAAACAAAATTTGGCCCCTGAAAGTCATACCTCAAGACCTAGTGCTCAAGTCTATTCCTTGCACAAATCCCTCAAAGTTTGCAACTCATAGCACATTAGTTCATCCGCTTGACCGAAATGTATGCTTCACTTTGAGGGATTGACTTAACGTACTCAACAAGAAAATCATTATGAAAAACAGCTCAAAGGACTAAATTCAAAGGAAGTCTATATTCAAGGATCAAATTGGATATTCATCATTGTTTTATTGTCTTTGCAGTTTTGATAATCTTGTTGTACTGTGATTAGTTCTTCTTTTGATATGCTCAACAGTTTAGAAAGTTAACTTTATACATTTATTACTTTGTGATATGTTGCTACTTTGTGATATGTTGCTCAAATAAATCCCGTACGTTCTTACTTATAGCAACGGTCATATAATACTTCAGGGACAGTACCTTGGTTAAAAGAAAGAGAGATTCTGAGTAAGCACCCATCAATCCATTTACAATGCACCCTTTAGATGGAAGCAACGGTGCAACCTTTGCTATTCCTTCCTGCCATATGTGCCTCTTCCATGAGGGTTTTGAATTACTGTCATATTCATAAAGATCTCCAGAGGAACTGCACCACCAATTGTTAGGTTTATCAATCCATTCCTCATCTATTTACAAGATGAAGAATGCTGTTTGACTCTTACTGAAAACAAATTGGCAAAGTATGATGTTAGAAGGAAACATTAATTTTTAGTAAACTTTTTAGGTTTTCATCGATTATAACATTAAAATTAGATTTTACACTCATAAGAACTACCCACCTTATAGTATATACAACTGCTCTACTAGAAGTAGCATCAGCTATCACTGCAACATTTGCTCCAGCTGGTTGACCATGACTTATCCATCTGTTCTATATAAATATAAAGGTGTTAAATTAGTAACACCTTGGAAACCATTTGTTAAACTTAGGAATGAAATTGTTGTGAAAATAAGAAACTTCCCCACAGGGACGAAGAAGAACTTTGTAGTACACAAACTTGGATGAACCTGTGAAAGCATCAATGATATTTGAGCCTATGCTTGAATTTTACCTTGGAGGCTCTATACCAGCAAGTTCAATCAGCAGTCCATTCTTTGAGCAGAAATAAGCTCTCCTATTGCACAATGCGACAATATAAAAAGAGTTATTCAGAGAACTCAAAAGAGTTAAAGTGATAACAGAATTCAAATGAGTGATTGATGTTTATGTTAAGTTCAGAGACTCGAACATAAAGTTTTATGCATACTTACTGTCCATCTTGTGAAACAATGCCAGACTTTATTAATACCAGACGATTTTGTTGTGAATCTCTATCAGTGATGTGATTTAAAGTAGGCGTGAGTTCAACCCACACTGTTTCTGAGCTTTCACTAAGTTGCACTTGCATCTGCCAACAAACATAAATCAGATAACCAGAATTCTTGCAGTTCCATACTTATGATGGCTTACTTGAGACCATTTAGATTACATGCTGGTTCAAATCCAGCTCGGCCCAATAATTCGCTGGTCCACCATGAAATGATGTAACCATTTGTTGTTCTCCAGAAATGCCCAATTATTCATCCATGTCTACAATCAATCATCTTTGTGGTTGGTTATACATTTAATGGCTTACACTAAATATATGTAAATGCTCTCAGGGACATGGCTTATAATTACATATGCAGACATGGTATAAGTTATACATTATAAAAGATGAGACGTAGAATTCTATCATTTAAAACCGTTGAACCAATCGAAGTCTAACTCTTCCAAAGAGTCTAGATATTGAAACAATTATTCCACTGTGCACCAATTTATGATAATAAACTTCCAAAGAATAAAATTATGGCAATGTTATCATTTAGGTAGTAGCATGGTAGTTTACTCTTGCAAGAATTTAACTTGTGAATGTTGAAAAAGCTTTCATAAATGCAAGAATCTGGATTATAGCCACTAGAATTTGGGAGTGAAATTCCCTTTTTATTCGTTTAGTTTATTGAAAGCTATATATTACACAGTGAACAAACCCAACAAACACAGTCAAAGAAAGACAGAGATAGATCAAGGCCCACAGTTCATCTGATTTGCGGACATGCAAAGTTCAAAAATTTTCTGTTCTTAGTTTCTTAGACTAATAAAAAGGGGAAAAAAGAAAAGACAACAATAATAATTATACAATTTGGTCCCCCAACACTTTACCCTTTATGCTTCATTGTATTTTTTTATTATGCAAATCAGTTCTTGAAGGTCAGAAATTAGCCGCAAGTTTATATTGAGTTCCCTCAAAATTAAGATAAAATGTAGCAAATTACGAACTTGAAGGGACTGAACATTAAATTGAAAGATTAAAGCTGTGGATTTAGTCACTGGGAAGAGAGAGAGAGAGAGAGAAGACGAAAGCGTCAGAAAGTACATCATTCAAGAACTAAGCTGTGGATTTAGTCCTCTAGAGTTCATCATACAAACCCCCTACGTAGATTATCACTTTCAGTAACGATTCAAGCATGCATGCATAGGAAAGTGAACACACAAGACACAAATACAGTTAAACAGATGATCGAAGTTGTAACCCTTCATCCAAACTCAAAAGGTAAAAAATAAAAATAAAAATTGAAGTGCTCAGAAGTGATACTCGAAACCTGATATAGCAATCCTGCTTCTGAGAGAGCAAGAATGGTTTGATTGATGACAAAAACGGCGATAGCTCGTCCTGCTTGTATTGGAAGCTCATGAGGAGCAATCACCCATTGGAGTCCGTTCCAAAATCTCTCATAGATTGACCCACTCTCGCCAGTCACCCACACCGATGAATCCGACAGTTTAGTCAAAGACAGTCTCTTTCTCTGAGGCAAAATTTCATACACTAGTCCTACGTTGTCATTACCATCATCCCAAGCTTCCCCACTTGTCTGCTTAAGATCATAGGGAAGCTGAACTTCAATCCATCCATCAGCTTGTTCACTGAACACCCAGAACCTATCAGTCTTGCGCTCAAATCGCCGATTGCTTTGTTGAAAAAACTGACGTGGGCACAAAGAAGCACAAGAACCCCGCGCTATTGTGGGGAAGAAGAGGACAGAAATGGAACATATCAAATGGAAAATATGCACAGACATGGTGGTGGTGATGTTGGAGGCATTTGAGAATACACAAACAGATGAAAATTATGAAACTCGAGGTTCTGACTTTCGGTAACAGATGGCATAATGAAGCATGGAGGCAAGAAGATTGGGTTATGGAGTCAAAGAGGAAGAAGAAATGGAGGAACAGGGGTTGGTAGTTGAAGAAGAAGATGCTGATCCCTTAGATCTTAACTACCACTGTAATCAATACAAGAAGTGGCCTACCTCTGTTTTCCTCAACGTCTTGAGTTCCCAATATCAATCTCTGGGTAAAAACCAATGACGCCTGACAAAGAATAAATGTTTCTATTTTATTTTATTTTTCTGGAAACCGAATAAATATCACCCGTCTATGTTCCTAGTTACAAGAGATGATTAACTAAATCATACTCCCTCCCTCTTTTTTTTTTTATAAGTAATATAGGAGCTAATCACATAAATCATAATATTAGTTAAAATTAATTAAAAATAATAAATATATAAAAATTAGAAGTTTTTTTTTTAAATGTCTTTATTTATGGGGAGAGAGAGTATAGGAGAAAGAATAAGAAAATTATTATAATAAAAGGAATTATAAAAGATAGAGAATGTGTGATGGAGAGATGATAGTTTAAAAAATAAGATAATAAATATATTGAGTATTAAATTAAATAATTAATGAAAGCAAAATAAGAAATTCACTATTAAAATTTAAAACAACTTTGCGAATGTTAGTTATACATGGGGACAAAAAGAAGATAGTAGTTGTTGCTTATAAAATAAAATAGAAGGAGTATTGATTAAAAAGTTAAACTTAATTGGAAGCAATCTCACCTATTAAAAAATGCATTAAATTGACGGAACTTTTTACATTTGTCCCAATTAGAAAAAGATATTGAAAATAAATATATTATACATTTTCTCTCGTAATTTTTTTTTAATTGTATCCAGTGGAGGTGAGGTGAGATTGAAAAAAATAAAATGTCATTAATTATCTTACAAATCAGTTATATTTAGGAACCAATTTTTCCTTTGTAAGTGACTTATATACAGGAAAGGAATGGTAAGTCACTTTAATTAATTCATTATAACCAAAAAATAAAAGTTAACTTATTAAATTTATCACAAATTGAAATTTCTTTTCCAATTTTAGTCATATTAAATGAGAATATGAATGAAAGAAAAGAATATAATAAGTTGCGTTTAAGTATTAGTTTTAGGGATAAAATTGTCAAATACTACCTCCGGTCCTTAATATAAGACCCCGTTTGACTTTTTGTTTGGTCCTAATTATAAGACCCCAATCCATTTTGTCTATCATATTTATGCATTTTTTTCCAAGATAGTCCTTCTAATAATGATAGTTCTAACCAATACACTTAATTAGCAAGGATATTTTAGGAATGACAACACTTATTTATTACAAATAACTAACTTAACTTACTTCTTTAATCTCCTCAAATAAGTCAACTGGGTCTTATAATTAGGACCGGAAGTAGTAAACATTAATTACTCTCTAAGTAATTTATATTGCGGATCAAGTCATTCGTCTAAAACTAAAAGTGAATTATATTGTGAACCAAAAAAAATTCAATTTGTTTTTAAAAAACCCTTATTTTTGAAAAAGGTGGTGAATCGGAGAGAAGATAGGTGGGGGGGGAAAAATGAGACTAGATTCTCCGGATATCTTCAAAATGGATTCTTATGGGGGGAAAAACGTACTCATTCAAAAATTTGTAGCTTACGAAAAAGAATGGAGGCAGTATTTGTTTTGTTTAAGAATATTTTTTCTTATGGCTGGCTAGAAAATAAGTTTTTTTTTTTCCTTACTTCATCTAAAATTCGTTTTTATGCACTATATGTTTTTTGATACAAATTTCATCTAAAATTCAATGTCAGCATAACAATTTATTATTTTGAATATTGATATTGATTTATAGGTAAATGCACTAAATGTTCTTTTTATTTTTACGAACTAATAAATGCTGCTTCCTCCTTCCCTGATTATAATAGTCTATTTAATTTTTTTTCTAATTAAAATATGCTACCTTTGATCTAGGATCGGAGGAAGTATTTTACATATTGTTTTAATAAATAATTAAAATCTGATGACCCACTTCAGTCAAAAAATTTAAAGGTATTCAAATTTATGGACTTGACATTTAATGGACAGAAAAAATTAGAAAGGAACAACCGAAATTATGGAAGGCGTCAACTTTTTTTTAAAAAGAATTCAAGCAGTTTAATCTTACGAATAAAAGAATATTATGTTAAAAGTATTATCGTCATGGCAACAAAAAAAAAAAAAAGACCCCAACATCAATTAAGTTTAATACTACTTTTGATCTTTAATATAAAATTTAGTTGATTAATTTGAAAAGATTAAAAAAGTTATTAAATTACCTAATTATAACATATATTAAATGATCTCTTTAAGTGTATATATATTATTAGATTATATATTAATTTATAAGTGGGGCAGATTAGTCAGGAGAAAAATAATAAATATAAATACTTTAATTTAATAACCTCCGTAATCTTCTTAAATTAGTTAATAAAATCACATATTAAGGACCGAAAATAATATTTAAATATGACATGATAGTATTATATATATATATCAAATAATTGTACAAAAAATTAATGGTGTAAGCAAATAAATTTTGTTTTAGAAAATTTTTATAATTCATCCCAAATTTTAAAATATATATACATTTTTTTTTATCAAATAGAATAAGGGTAGCAAAGGAGGATCCAATATACAATCTTACACCACTAGAGCGAATTAAGTGCCGCTAGTTCATATCGTCATTGCCGGATATTGATTGATGATTCTTGATTGCTTATTTGAACCCTATGCCCAATGGTAGAAAATTATGCTTCTTCATACGGTGACAGATGTGGAAGATGGCTGTTGCTTTGTGTTTGGAAAGAGACACATAGCAAGATTCCTGCATCAACCGCCTTTTTTTTTTTTTTGAGCTGATGCATCAACCGCCTTTACCAAAAGCATGAATAGAGTGAATAGAATTAGGATCATCACATGATCCTTGCAATTGCTTTCCTTAGATCATCCTAATTAAAACCCTACCACTTAATAAAGAATGCCTCAATGTCTAGACCTGTCGCTCCATTAATAAAATAAATGATAGATATGCAAATCTAAATACAAAATATTCATGAATACGTGCCTAACACTACAAAAATATCGATGCAGATTCCTAACGAGAGCAAAAATGTCGTATGGCCAGTTAATTTAAGTAAACATCCGTTAACTTCCAGAGCATTAAGTGATGCGGGGCCCATCATTATGGAGCGTGACAAGAAAGTAAGTGTTGAATTTAGAAATCGCTAAATGGTCAGTTGAATAAAAGAAATTTCCTTTTCGTCACACATGACCAAATAAAAATTTTGTAATTTAATACAATGACCATATTACCCTTATAAATTAAAGAAGGGGCATTTACTTCAATAATTTAGTTAACAAGTCATGCAACGATATTAACAATTCTCATAATACTATTGACTACATGATCTGAGACCCTTTTACACTTTGAGAAATTAGGTGGTGCATAATAAATAAGAAAATTTTCAGCTCACTATAACACGGTTAACAAGTTATTTAATGTTATTAATAATTTTGATATCACTGTTAATAATAGATTTTTAAAAAAAATTAAAGAAATATTATTTTTACAACTTTAATACATGGTTAACAAGCATTAATGGTAACAATAGATTTTTCAAAAAAAATTAAAGAAATGTTATCTCTATAACTTCTATAACGTGGTTAACAAGTCTTGTAACAATATTAACAACTCTCATAATACCATTAATCACATGATCTAAGAGTATTTTGCACTTTGGGAGATTAGTCGGTGCATAATAAATGAAAAAAATTTTAACTCCTATAATGCAATTAACAAGTTAATTAATATTATTAACAAGTTTGGTATTGTTGTTAACAAGTTTCTTCAGAAAATTAAAGAAGTGCCATTTTTACAATAGGTTTTCTAATTTATAAGGGCAATATGATCATTCTATCAAACTACAAAATTCCCATTTGGTCATGTTCGACTTAAATGGAATTTTCCTTATTCGTGTGACTATTTGGGAATTTCCGAATTTAACAATCATTTTTCTATCATTTTTTTCTAAAAGTATCTAAAGCTTATTTTTATTGTAAATTTCATTCAAAAGTTTTCTGAGAAATTATAATTCTTATTATTACAATTAGACAATGAGGCCTATGTTTTACATAAAATCTAATGCATACTGAAATATGAATAATACAAGGTTTTCTTTGATCATACTATGTATGATCCTTAATATCAAACTTAGTTAACCAATTTATAAATATTAAGGATATTATTAAATTACTTAATTATAATAAATATTACATGTCTTTTCAAAATACTTATATGTATTATTTGATTATATATCAATTTATAAATGAAATAAATTAGTTTAAAAAATGATAAATATAAATATTTTAAAATAATCCAACAATTTTATTAATTTTTTAAAATAAATTAATTAGATCTTATACTTAAAAATTTGATATGATTAACAATTTAGTCAAAACAATTTTCTAAGCTTGCATGCGAAAGAAAAAGAGTGCTTTCTGAGAGGGAGAGGTGACTGGAGTGAAAAGGACATAAAGAGGAATGACGCCAAACATGCGTGACTTTATCTGCTTTTGCAGTCTTTGATTGCAATTTTAAGTGATCTTACTTTTCACTTTCATGGTTTTACTCATGCCAATCTTGTCCACACAAATCCAGTTACTGAATATTATTATCATTAGGGTTTCATCCAAATTACAAAAGCTTGTTCACCTGACCTTTCAAAAAGCACCATGACTTGATTCTTTATTATTCCATTAACTTTATATTATATATATAGTAATTGTAATAATACTCCTTAAGTCATTAATATAGAACCTAATTAGAAAGTTGATATTGGTTTTATATGTAAAATCTATTCCACATTTTTATCATTTTTTTAGATTAATCTTATTAATATTTCCTCAATAATAATCAAATAGGAGAGAGAAGGAAAGAATCAAGAAAGATATTGAGGGTGTCTAAAAAAAACATATTATATTAACTAATTCAATTAACATTCTTAATCTATTCAAATTAGATAATTGAGTTATAGGTTAATGAGTATCTAGATAAGCAATATCTGCATTACATAAAGTTAAAATGAAAATTAAGCTATCTCTTTATTAA